CTAGAACAGAACTAGAACAGAACTAGAACAGAACAAGAACAGAACTAGAACAGAACTAGAACAGAACTAGAACAGAACTAGAACAGAACTAGAACAGAACTAGAACAGAACTAGAACAGAACAGAACAGAACAAGAACAGAACTAGAACAGAACTAGAACAGAACTAGAACAGAACTAGAACAGAACTAGAACAGAACTAGAACAGAACTAGAACAGAACTAGAACAGAACTAGAACAGAACTAGAACAGAACTAGAACAGAACTTGAACAGAACTTGAACAGAACTAGAACAGAACTAGAACAGAACTAGAACAGAACTAGAACAGAACTAGAACAGAACTAGAACAGAACTAGAACAGAACTAGAACAGAACTAGAACAGAACTAGAACAGAACTAGAACAGAACTAGAACAGAACTAGAACAGAACTAGAACAGAACTAGAACAGAACTAGAACAGAACTAGAACAGAACTAGAACAGAACTAGAGCAGAACTAGAGCAGAACTAGAACAGAACTAGAACAGAACTAGAACAGAACTAGAACAGTACTAGAACAGTACTAGAAAAGAACTAGAACAGAACTAGAACAGAACTAGAACAGAACTAGAACAGAACTAGAATAGAACTAGAACAGAACTAGAACAGAACTAGAACAGAACTAAAACAGAACAGAACAGAACAGAACTAGAAGTGGAACAGAACTAGAACTGAAAAAATATGAAACAGTTTTAATTATTTAAATTTTCTCTTTGCAGGATTTCCCCTCTCGGTGTGGCCTTCTTGATTGCTGCCAAGATTATTGAAATGGAATCGATTGCCGATACCATACAGTCACTGGGTTGGTACTTTGTAACCGTTATGCTGGGTCTATTCCTGCACGGTTTCGGTAAGTTTATTCTGTCGATATAAACACCAAGAGAATTCTTAAAGTATTCCTCTCCCAACAGGTACCATTGCTGTTATATTCTTCTTGGGTACTCGACGTCTACCCTATCCCTTCATTGCCAAACTCAGTCAGGTCTTGGCCACAGCCTTTGGCACTGGCTCCAGTTCTGCCACTATGCCTTTAACCATTAAGTGCTTGGATGGCATGGGCATAGATCCACGAGTAACACGTTTCGTTATCCCAGTGGGAGCTACCATTAATATGGACGGTACTGCTTTGTATGAAGCTGTGGCCGCTCTCTTCATTGCTCAATACAGAGAAATGAGCTATTCATTTGGTACCATAGTGGCGGTTAGTATTACAGCAACAGCAGCTTCTATAGGTGCTGCTGGTATACCACAAGCTGGTCTTGTAACAATGGTCATGGTATTGGATACAGTGGGTTTGGAACCCAAAGATGTATCACTAATTATTGCCGTTGATTGGCTGCTGTAAGTTTGAAAATTGAATGATTAGGAAAGAATTGTTGTTATTTTATATAATGTTTACAGAGATCGTTTCCGTACCACCATTAATGTTATGTGTGATGCTTTGGGCACAATTTTAGTGAATCATTTATCCAAAAAGGATTTGCAAAATGTAGACAGAGTAAGTTTAAGCAGATTTGTATATAAAACATACAATAATTTTCATAATTTTCTTAAAAACAGATAAATGCTGAACCCCATGAACTGCTGGAATTAGGAGCCAATGGCCATGACAAGGAATAAAATAGCTGCCAGCCCACCTCGGTATAGACAGCATAGTCAAAAGCCAAATGTAGCAGAATTTAGTTATTTGTAACTTAAATTTAAACAAAATACAAGAAACACAATTACGACGTGCTGCTTTAGTTAAGCAATTTATTTTTGTACAGACAGATGTGTTCGCTCCATTCCAGAAGCACGTCTCTTGTCTTCTTCAAAAATATCTTTAAAAATGCAACCATAGAATACAAAATTTTTTTTATTTTAACATTTGTGCTCCTTTCAAAAGTACAACTCTCACGAATTTCCTTTAAATTTTAGCAAAACAAAAATTTTATTACTCGCCCCGCCTATAAATCTTAAAGAAAATTTCAAAAATTTAACCTCAAAAATAAAATATTTACAATGTAAATATTCTTGATTAAAAAATTATAAATAAATAATTTGTATTTATAGCAAAATAAAAAAAAAAGAAATTTAATAAAAAAAATAATAATAATTGTCAAGTAAGAATGTTATAATTTAAACAAATTATATTATTAATTAAATTAGTAATTAATAAAAAATTAAAAAAAAAAACGAATTGCCAAATAATAACAATTTTCTCTTGCATAGACAGCGCACAATTAAAACCACAGGAGGAAGAGGAGACAGGAGTTCAAATTTTTAACACAAACTTTAAAGCTTTGAAATATTTTAAAGCTGTTAACAGAAGCCACTAAAGCTTAAAAAATGTCAAATATTTTCAAATTATAGAAAAAAGTCAACAGCTAAGCTTTTAAGCTTTGAAATATTCCAAGTTTAAATAAAATAAGCTTTCAAGTTTTACTCTCTTATTCATTAAGAAATAATAGTTTATTAAAGCTTTTTTAAATTTATACAAAGCTTTATTAAAACTAAAATTTCTTTATGATTAAGAGCTTTATAATATTTTTTTTTTTTTGTAAATACATACTTAATAGTTTAAGTATAAAGAAATAAAAATAAATGACAATAAATCTTATAAAAAAGTGCAGTTTCAAATCTTTATAAATTAAAAGAAAATTGTTAAAATTTTGTTGTTCTCAAACAACAACAAACTTGCTTATAACTAACTAAAAACCCTAATTTTAATTGATTTAATTCTTATACAAACAAAACATATTTATACAAACATTATTATGCCAAAAAAACATAATTTTTTAGTTTTGTTACAATTTGATATTATAATGTTATAAGAAGTTTATAATAATAAAACTTCTTCAAACCCAAACAAAACGTTATAAACTTTATATATAAACCTACCATAACAAACAACATAACCTTACATTATTAACAAAATATGAAAGAAAATTAAAAAATCAGAAATGAAATGAAAATGTTATTCAAATATATTTTCTAGCTGTGTAGTTTATGTTCTCAAAAAAATAATAAAAATGAAAAACAATTAACAAATAACTACTAATTGACTATGATTTAATTAGTTAGTTATTTAACGAGTTTACTATTATAAAACAACATTACACACAAGAGGTGTAGTAAGTATAACAAATATCAGGGAAATGTTTTTTAAGTGCAAAGTTCAATATTATTTTACAAAATTTTCCTCTACTGTTGTAGAATTACTTTACAAAAAAATGATTTTAAATCTAGAAGAATCAGGTTCAGAATCAGCTTTTCCTACCAAGATCTATTACCTGTTGCTCACATTTGAAAATTTTTTAACTGGCAACTCCAAAATTTTATAAAATCTTCCTAAAGATATGCTTTACTTTTTATTATTTGTTGAAGAAAATTATTAGGTTAGGGAAACAGTTTAGTTCTCTGATCTAGCAAACATATGATCAGTAAATTTAAAATGGTTTTCAAGCCTTAACTTTAGTCAAAGCTACTGGCAAATGCTATTAAATTTCTTGCGATCATTTGTAACACTAAAGCTTGATCTATAATAAAAAGAAAATTTCACTTTACCAGTCTAGTCTGTTGTCTAGTATATAGTCTAGTAGGCTAGTCTATAGTATAGTCTACAGTCTAGTCACCAGTCTAAAGTCTAGTCTATAGCCTTGTTAATAGTCTAGTACCAGTCTAGTCTATAGTCTAGTCTAGTAGTCTATAGTCTAGTCTATAGTCTAGTCTATAGTCTAGTCTATAGTCTAGTCTATAGTCTAGTCTAGTCTAGTCTATAGTCTAGTCTATAGTCTAGTCTATAGTCTAGTCTATAGTCTAGTCTATAGTCTAGTCTATAGTCTAGTCTATAGTCTAGTCTATAGTCTAGTCTATAGTCTAGTCTATAGTCTAGTCTATAGTCTAGTCTATAGTCTAGTCTATAGTCTAGTCTATAGTCTAGTCTATAGTCTAGTCTATAGTCTAGTCTATAGTCTAGTCTATAGTCTAGTCTATAGTCTAGTCTATAGTCTAGTCTATAGTCTAGTCTATAGTCTAGTCTATAGTCTAGTCTATAGTCTAGTCTATAGTCTAGTCTATAGTCTAGTCTATAGTCTAGTCTATAGTCTAGTCTATAGTCTAGTCTATAGTCTAGTCTATAGTCTAGTCTACTCTATAGTCTAGTCTATAGTCTAGTCTATAGTCTAGTCTATAGTCTACTCTATAGTCTACTCTATAGTCTACTCTATAGTCTAGTCTATAGTCTAGTCTATAGTCTAGTCTATAGTCTAGTCTATAGTCTAGTCTATAGTCTAGTCAATAGTCTAGTCTATAGTCTAGTCTATAGTCTAGTCTATAGTCTAGTCTATAGTCTAGTCTATAGTCTAGTCTATAGTCTAGTCTATAGTCTAGTCTATAGTCTAGTCTATAGTCTAGTCTATAGTCTAGTCTATAGTCTAGTCTATAGTCTAGTCTATAGTATAGTCTATAGTATAGTCTATAGTATAGTCTATAGTATAGTCTATTAGTCTATAGTCTAGTCTATAGTCTAGTCTATAGTCTAGTCTATAGTCTAGTCTATAGTCTAGTCTATAGTCTAGTCTATAGTCTAGTCTATAGTCTAGTCTATAGTCTAGTCTATAGTCTAGTCTAGTCTAGTCTATAGTCTAGTCTATAGTCTAGTCTATAGTCTAGTCTATAGTCTAGTCTATAGTCTAGTCTATAGTCTAGTCTATAGTCTAGTCTATAGTCTAGTCTATAGTCTAGTCTATAGTCTAGTCTATAGTCTAGTATATAGTCTAGTCTATAGTCTAGTAGTCTATATCGGTGTTTAGAATTGAAATCACTTAGGGAAACATAGGATCATTATATTCTTACCGAAATTTGTATATGATTATAAATCCACCTTTGTATATGATTATAAATCCACCACCTTTAACTTAAACTTCTTGAAATACCCACGATTTCTAGTAAAAAATCTTAAAGCTAAACCATTATAGTTTTAACAAATCTCATTTGATTTATTAAATACATAGATTTCATATCGTATAACTAATACAAATTATGGCAATTTCAGTTAAACTTATAATTACGTATAATTGTTTTGAATATATAGTTGATTTAAGACCCAATAGCTCCATGTCTGTTGGCAGTATATCTTTACGCTAAACTATAAACATACATTTAGAAATAGAGGGCAAGAGTAATAAAGAAGAAAAGGACTCGTAGCACCAATATTTTTTTCTTGAAAATAATTTTTCAGCAACATTTTGAAAAAGAGTGAAAAAACTAAATTATCTATCAATTTCTACTTTTTGTTTCAGATGACCAGGTAAATCATTATACACCAAGGCAGGAACGCGGGCTATAAAGGTAATTGAAAATAAATTTATTAATAATGATCTCAAATTGTCAAGAATAGATCTTCAGAATACTTACTGTTACATTTGTAAATCAAATCTGACCAAATGATCATTTGTTGCGAGAAGCAGAAGGCACCCAAACGCCCTCCCTTCAAAGTAGAGTCATAGACATTATGAGAATCCAAGATTAGCTTATCACCCTCAAACATTCTAAGACGTATAAGACCAATAGCGGGACGATGTAAAAGAGACCATCTATAGGAAGTTTTCTCCTTCCAACCAATATTCATGGGATCTTTCCATAACAATCTCACTTGATCCTTAGTATCGCCAGTATGCCACAAACTATTACGCAACATAGAACCAGGCCCAGTAATACTATCCACCAATTTAATTTGAATACCCGGCTCTCCCGAGGCACGGAAGGGTGTAGAATGCCAGTATGTTTGTGTATTCTTTTTCCACATTACTATATAAAATTTACGATTACTTTGATAACTGAATATGAATCCGACATAATCATCATCGGTGTCATCGTTAACGTAGAAAGTACCCTCAAAATCAACACCACCAAAAGCATCATGACCCACCACTAGACCGGGATCACTATTCAAAGTTTGTATAATTTCCGAGCCATTGGCATGAACCTCCCAATTGGGATCTAGTTGAGCTTCACCCTCAGGATCCAATATCACAGAACGTATGGTACGGAAATCAGTGGAATATATCATGGAATTATTGGGACAATTGTCTATGATATTGGGAGTACCATCGTCGTCTTCATCGTATTCACACAAATCACCTTTGCCGTTTTCTAAAGTTATAGGATTAAAGACAGTTAAACTGAAATCCTCGTCATTGTTAATAATTAAAAACTTACTGTTCAAATCCAATTGATTGGGATTTTTGGCCAAAGGACAATTGTCTCTATAATTGGGAACACCATCACCATCCATATCATCATCACAAGCATCTCCCCTAATAAAAATTTAAGATAAATTATAGGATCGCATAATACTTTTTGCCTTTAGTTACTTACTTGCCATCATTATCGGTGTCCAACTGATCAGCATTACTAACCATGGGACAATTATCCTCACTATCCTGTATACCATCATTATCACCATCAATCTCACTATCACAAGCATCACCCAACAAATCATTATCACGATCCTCTTGTGAAGGATTCGAAATACTAGGACAATTATCACAGACATCTCCTATACCATCACCATCGACATCCAATTGATTTGGATTGGGCACCAACATACAATTATCATACTCATTAATTACGGTATCATTATCCATATCATCATCACAATCATTGCCCAAAGAATCATCATCTGTATCCAACTGCTTGCGATTCGGTACAAATGGACAATTATCACAGGCATCACCTACACCATCATGATCTGAATCCATTTGATCGACATTGTAAACAAATGGACAATTATCCTTGTCATTCGATATTAAATCGCCATCAGCATCATCATCACAACCATCTCCTATGCCATCATTATCGGCATCTTCTTGTCCCGAATTGGGTAAATCGGGGCAGTTGTCTCTTTTACAGTGCAACTCTGAACAGGGTAATTGTAGATCAGGCCAACTATCTAGATCACGATCGCGTCCACATATTAAACCATTGCCAGCCCAACCTACTTTACATTTGCATCTGTATTTCAAATTATCGGCTAGTACACAATTGGCATTACTATTACAGATTGTACCATCGGGACACATATCGGCTATGGGGAAGCAATTCGAAGTACCATTCGAAACAAAGCCTTCACGGCATTTGCACTGATAGGAGCCCTGGCAAGTGAGGAAAATAAAAGAAAAATGATTTGACTATATTTAAGGGCACAAAATAAAGATAAAGGGAATTTACTCTTCACCAATTCTGAAGGTGAGGGAACTGAAAGAAAGGATTTCCTCCTACCTTCTACATTCAACCCATTTTCTTTAATTTATTTACTTTCTGTTAATTCCCTAAACATTTTATATAAACCTACCATTGTATTAACACACACTGCATTCGGTCCACATCGAGCCATACCATTCGTACATTCATCCACATCATAACACGTTTGTTTCTGATAATTCAAAGTCCAATATTCAGCATAATAACCTTTGTAACAGAATCAAATATGTTAGTTTTACACGATGTTATATATACTTTCAAAACCTATTACCATGCATGTGCATGCCACTATAACCCAAGGGACACGGTTCACATCTGAAACCCGGATTTTGATTAACACAGGTCGTTTTCGGATCACAGGGTTGATAGAGTTCACATTCATCTATATCTACACACAGGCTGCCATTGATACGCTGACTGCGAGTACAGGAAATGCATTGGAAATAGGGCGGTACTCCGATTTGTATACATTCAACTCCTATATAAAAGAGATACATCGGAAATGGATTATCTGCTCAATGAAGGAAATTCAATATAAAATAAGAGTTATCAGCGATTTTACGAAAAAAAGGTATTTTAAGTGAAAAACTAAAATTTTAGTGAAATGTCCAATTTTTTGTGAACAATCCAAGTTATAGTGAAAAATCGAATTTTTAGTAAAATTTTGAATTTAAATAAATTTTTAGTAAAAATTCAAATTTTTGTGAAAATTAGAAATTTTGGCAAATAATTTTAAAAAGTCCGATTTTAGACGTATTTTAAAAAAAACCGATTTTTAGTGAAAAATTTTTTAATTTTGGTAAAAAGTCAAATTCAGTGAAAATTCAAATTTTTAGTAAAAAAATCGAGTTTTATTGACAAATCGATTTTTTTTTCCGTTAAATACAATTTTTGACGAAATATTGAATTTTTAGTGAAAATTTAACTTTTTTATGAAAAATCTAAGTTAGTGAATGAATATTGAATTTTTATGAAGTTTACGAATTGTTCAGATCACCAAATGTCTGAAGGTTTCTTAAATAACCATCAAAATCTAACATCTTGAAGACACATCCAAGTAGAGTCGAGAGGACTCCGTTTTGATAATTAGATCAAGATAAAAAACTTTTTAAATATGGACAAAACGAGCGTAAAACACGTAGATATATAATCTATCGTTAAAATCGAATCGAAAAGTTGAAGTCTGATAGACCGGAGGTCATGGGTTTGATTAACACTTGAAGCACTGGTTATAGGGAACGCACAACAGGAATAGGATGTCTGGGTATTTTTCCGGGTTTGGGATGTTTGATAACTATAACTAACGAACGAACGAACGAACGAACGAACGAACGAACGAACGAACGAACGAACGAACGAAGAACGAACGAAACGAACGAAACGAACGAACGAACGAACGAACGAAACGAACGAAAACGAAACGAACGAACGAACGAACGAACGAACGAACGAACGAACGAACGAACGAAGAACGAACGAACGAACGAAACGAACGACGAACGAACGAACGAACGAACGAAAAAACGAACGAACGAGAACGAAAACGAACGAAAGAACGAACGAAACGAACGAACGAACGAACGAACGAACGAACGAACGAACGAACGACCGGACGAACGAACGAACGAACGAACGAACGAACGAAGGAACGAACGAACGAACGAACCAACGAAAAACGAACGAACGAACGAACGAACGAAAACGAAGAACAACGAAGAACGAACGAACGAACGAACGAACGAACGAACGAACGAACGAACTAAGAAAACGAACGAACGAACAACGAACGAACTAACGAACGAACGAAAATAACGAAACGAACTAACGAACGAACGAACGAACAACGAACTACTAACTAAAACTAACGAACTAACTAACTAACGAACTAACTAACTAACTAACTAACTAACTAACAAACTACAACTAACTAACTAACTAACTAACTAACTAACTAACTAACTAACTAACTATCTAACTAACTAACTATCTAACTAACTAACTAACTAACTAATTAGCTAACTAACTACTTAACTACCTAACTAACTAATACTTTGCACCCTATGTTTTACTTTTTAAATTTTGTTGGCCTGTGTTATTATTGATCGGACTTCGAATAAATTCATAATTTTCGGATCTTTAAAGAACTCTGGGTCTAAGACTACAAGTTGTCGCTTTAGATGTTGTCTGTAATAAATGAATAAACTTGTTTAATTTCTTCTTCCGTAAAAATTCCTTTTGGTGTAGTGTAGGTTCTAGTACCTCTTATTTTAGTATCATGTTATTTTTAGTAAATTTTGATTAGATTTTAATAAATTGTTAAAGTTTTTATTAAAATGCATTAGTTTTGTTAGTACACTGCTTTTTTAAACTAATAAACTACCAACATACATAAATAATTAACCAGAAAATGGAAAATATATATAAAATAATATAAAAAAAATGAAATAAAATCATTAATAATACTAAAAATCGAGTACACAACACCAAATATTGTTATAATTTTTAAAAAATGATAAAAAAATATGAATGAATTAACTAAAGAAAAAGTAAGAAAAAATTATAGTATTTACCAGTGAAATAGTTTAAAACGTACTCTCTTCTTCCATAAATGGAAAACACAATTTGCTAAAGCAAATTTTTATGACTTTTTTTTTTAAATAAAAATAAATTTTTAGGATTTATTTTGACAAAGAACGTTTTTTATTATTTTACAAATTTTTATTAAAGCAAAAAAATAAATTTTCTTTTTTTAAGACGAAAATTGTATTTATAACTTATAAAATATATAATTACCCACTTTCTGGCAAGGCGTGGTCTTATAATTAAGATTCTTTTTCATTTAAAGTATGTTTAAGTTTATTAAGCATTTGTGCACAAAAAAAAGTTATTTAATTTTACATTTAATATTTGTGTTTAATTACAAATTGTTTATACTTTCATTATTAATTTTTTTTGGATAACATAATACTTGGTGGTGTTGGTATCAGGGTATGGACCTATAAAGATCTAAAGCCCTGATATGTAAGTAGTGTGTATGTGCAAGTGTAAATTAATTGTTTATTATCAATTCTTTTTTAAAATCAATTGTAGTTTTTTATAAATTATACTTAAATATCTAATATTTAATTAATTATATTTTTCTCAAAAGTTGTTTATTGACGGCGTTTTCTCATCATAGTTTTGGTCTATGATGTCATAACCGAATATTTGCGCGCTGTATACTGCCTTTGATAATGCTGTACATTATGGGTTGGCACTATAATGCTTCCTATAAAAATGTTCACAAAATTCTTATTAGTAAAAATCAATTTATTTGTTTTTTTTTACTCAGGAAATTATTTAAAGTTTAACAGAAAAAGGTTAAACCTTTAATTTTTTTGGAAAAAACCATAAATCATTGTTTTAAAACTGTAGCGTGGTATGAGCTAAAACAAAGCAGACCTCCCTCTGTCATGAATTGGTTTAATGTCAAAAATTTATTTCGCACCTTTACCCTGTATTTAGGAATAAAAATACCGCAAAAGTCAAGGGTTTAGATTTAAAGTTGCAGGAGCGTGGTTATTTATAATAGGGAGAAGAAATATACAAATATTCACCCTTTGAAATTAACATTCATTCTTTGAATTTCTATAGGTTCAGGAATCTAATTTGAACTGAACTAGAATATAACTAAAACTAAACTAGACCTGAACTAGAACTGAACTAGAACTAAACTAGAACTAAACTAGAACTGAACTAGAACTGAACTAGAACTGAACTAGAACTGAACTAGAACTGAACTAGAACTGAACTAGAACTGAACTAGAACTGAACTAGAACTGAACTAGAACTGAACTAGAACTGAACTAGAACTGAACTAGAACTGAACTAGAACTGAACTAGAACTGAACTTGAACTGAACTAGAACTGAACTAGAACTGAACTAGAACTAACTAGAACTGAACTAAAACTGAACTAGAACTGAACTAGAACTGAACTAGAACTGAACGAACTGAACTAGAACTGAACTAGAACTGAACTAGAACTGAACTAGAACTGAACTAGAACTGAACTAGAACTGAACTAGAACTGAACTAGAACTGAACTAGAACTGAACTAAACTGAACTAGAACTGAACTAGAACTGAACTAGAACTGAACTAGAACTGAGCTAGAACTGAACTAGAACTGAACTAGAACTGAACTAGAACTAAACTAGAACTGAACTAGAACTGAACTAGAACTAGAACTGAACTAGAACTGAACTAGAACTGACCTAGAACTGAACTAGAACTGAACTAGAACTGAACTAGAACTGAACTAGAACTGAACTAGAACTGAACTAGAACTGAACTAGAACTGAACTAGAACTGAACTAGAACTGAACTAGAACTGAACTAGAACTGAACTAGAACTGAACTAGAACTGAACTAGAACTGAACTAGAACTGAACTAGAACTGAACTAGAACTGAACTAGAACTGAACTAGAACTGAACTAGAACTGAACTAGAACTGAACTAGAACTGAACTAGAACTGAACTAGAACTGAACTAGAACTGAACTAGAACTGAACTAGAACTGAACTAGAACAGAACTAGTACAGAACTAGAACTTTGAGCTAAACAAGGTTTAACCTAAATCTAAGTCACTTTAAATAGTTTTAATCCTTGATTAACTTAAACCTAAATTGTAAAAAACTAGTAATTAGAAACCTAAAGGTTTACAAATGTTTACATTTTATACTAAACTCTGTAACTGTACCTTTAATTTTACATTTAAGTGTAAAATAAAGTCACTATTTATCTAAAGTTGAAATGTTAAACTTACAACTGATGACATAATTTGTTACGAAAAATTACTAACCTGAAGGACAAGGACCATCTAAGCAGGGATTACGTTTAGTGCAAGTGCGACCATCACCCTCATAGCCCAAAGGACAGGAATCACATTGGGCACCACTCACAGTATCGTGACATTGAACGCCTCTGTGAAAAAAGAAAGAAAAAAAATCAACAAAAAATCACACATGAGTAATAAACAACAAAACTTAAAAAAAAACTAAACTCAATGACTGACTGACAACCTTAACAGCAGAAAATGTTTATAAATGACGTTTTAAATAAATGGACATTAATCGGTACGTGCGGCGTTGTACTTTGGTATTAAGAAACCCAAACATCGGTAAGAACACAACAAAAACAGGCTAAAATTAATGTTTTGTTGAAATTTTGTTTTTGAATTGAAAGAAAATTTATTTACATTTCTTTTTTTTTTCGTTGGTAAAGTTAAGTTTTCTTTTGTTAATGTTTAAACCTGGGACAAACACACTCAAATTTAATAACAATTACAAGAAAATCTTATTAACTCTTAAACATACACACACAAATAATCTTTAGTTACAATACAAATTTCCGTATGCTACAATGAATCGACTCTATGTAAACAAATGTGTGGGTAGTCACATGTAACAAATTAAAAGGAAGAAGATGTAGTAGTGAAAAATAAATACCTTTAGGCCATTTATCAAAGAAAAAATCAAAGATTAAAGGCTTTAAAACCGAATTTCCTATACATAATAAGAATAAACAAATTTAAACATAATTTTCCTATAATACTTACTTACATACATATGTACATCCAAATACACTTTGTGTAAACAAAAAAATTTGTCAATAACTTCAAATCAAACATCAAATCTTAAAATCTTTTTTTGTTTCTTATACAAATACACACACGCACTCTTATTGATGATCACTTGGAGATAAAATTGTGATAGAGAGAGAAAATTCTTAATGCACTTAGCAGGGTTGGATAAGTTAGTAGTTTTTATAAAACTTAACTGAAGTAGTATTTATAGATTGCAGAGACTTTAGACTTTAGCTTATTTTTCACTGATCATCTTTTGGAGAAAAATCTTGGATTCATCTATCAGATATAAGTTCGAGAATTTTGTTATATATCAGTAAAACCTGCCCATCAATGTCACAGAGATACGATCAGAAATCTACAAAGTCTTTTCCAGACCTCCGATATCTTTCAAACCCTAATCATAGATCAATCTGTCAGATACGGTTTCGATAGCTTTGCTATTATGAATCAACAGAAACGTGACAAAAATTGTCAGTTGTATAATATATAATGTCCTCTGATATCATATGAATCCAAATCTTAGATGAACACATTATTCCGAAGACCCCAGGTGTCTGTTGGACCCACGTTTTGGATTAATCTTTTAAATTTTGTTACTGTAAATCTTGATTCACCGATCTTGCGCACCAAAATTTTGGATAGATCTGCCAGACATAGGTACGTATGAGAGTTTGCAGTGGCCTGTCCTTCTGTCCGTTTATTAGTTAAAATCGACATTACGAAACCTTCAGATATCTTGTGGATTCAAATCTTGGATCGAACTGCCAGTCTTATGTTCGAGAGTTTGCACTGGATGTCCGTCTGTCCTTATGTTAGTTGAAATCAACATTACGAAGCCTGTAGATATATTGTGGATATGTCTTGGATCGATCGGTCAGGCATACGTCTGAGAGTTAGCACTGGCCTGTCCTTCTGTCCGTATATTAGTTAAAATCAACATTACAAAGCCTCAAGATATCTTGTAAATCCAAAACTTGGATCATTCTCCATTAAATACGTCCGACTATGAAAATGCCTCCAAATCGTTTCAATATTAACATAATCATGATCTTTACCAAACTGATCTCTATTAACATTTCTCTCTCCCTCTTACCATCCCTGTTGTATGTTTTGAATTTTACGCTTGAATAGGCATATCATTGTTTTTTTGGTTTAAGGGGGTAGACCATGGAAGATTATCACAAGACATTGATCGGTTTATTTTAAAGTTATGCCAAACAGAAAAAAATTGATAGAAAAGCGTAAAACTACAAAAACCGAAACTTATCACATCAAAGATCGTTAACAGTTCGCCTGGTTTGAAAGAGAGAAAAAAACCACAAACTTTCCCACACTCTATAAGCAAAGAAAGCCCACAAGATAAATGGACAGACTCACAGAAAATAAAGTTACAAAAGAAAAAAAAAACAAACGGCCACATACTTGTATGATCAATTTTTGTTTGATCAAATATTCAACGTACTAAGTATTATCCTAGTTGTATAAACATATAGTAAAATGTTGTTAACATTATTTTTACTTTTGTTTTTAGCTGATTTGCTTTTTTGTTCAGTAAAGTAGAAATAACTTGGTTTAGCGTTATTACATTTGTAAGTTTTACTCCATCCAACCAACCAACCAACCACCAAAACCATCTAAGACAACTGTCATGAACGAGTTCGCCTACGCATTTTCTTTTCTTAACCACAAGAAAGAAAAAAACATTGGCTCACACACTCACTCTTAACTTGGTTCATAACTATTTTTTTTTTCTTTACTATACTTAAAGCGGGTCTAAGCCATCAAACATAATTGTTGTTGTTGTATTTGTTAGTTGAGGTTTGTGTGGTTGTTTGACTGCTTGAATTTAAATTAATACTCGTATTTTTTCTTAGAGTTTTTGCGCGTGCGCCTTTTAAACGCTAAAATGCCTTGGGCGTTGTATATATGGCTACAATAATAAAAATAATAACTAACAGGCCTCCTTGCTACGTAGTGGAAACCAACAAAAAAACAAAGTGCTTAAAAGGAGGAAAACCTGGAAAAGAAACCATCTAAATAAAACATTGACATCTATGCTTTAAACTATGAAGAAAAGAAGCGTAAATACTCTCTTCAACAATATTGCATATTTTTATTATTATTTAATTTTTTGCCAAAGTTGTTGTAGAGAGTCTATAATATTCCAGACTTAGAGTTACACGCAACAAAACTATAAGATGATTCCTTAATAAAGCCACCGAAATCAGTTTCATTTAACTTGATTTGATTAGATCTTTTCAAAATATGCTAAAACATAGTCAAAAAAGCTTTTTGAAAGCTCGCCTTCATCTTCATTTAATTTCATTAAATCATAATGAGTTTCTGAAATAAATTAGATTATTAATGAAAAAAGCTCTCTCTAGGAGCTCTCAATACGATTTCATAGATTGGATTGTAATGTCAATCGATCTGGATCATAATGTCAAAGTTAGTTGTTAAAAATTTTATGGTTACAAAATAATGCTAAAACAAAGTCGGAAAAGCTTTTCGAAAGCTTTCCTACATTAAGAAATTCAGCTTCATTTAATTTCATAAAATCGTATTGTGCTTCTGAAATGATTTATATAATTGATGTGAAAAGCTCCCTCAAGTAAACTGGATATACTACAGTTCCTTCCAGAATTTGACTTCATTACGATACTACAAGACAATCTTGAAGCTTTTTATATATTTACCAATTTCACTACATTATTTACTGCTTTCTATTAAAAGCTTGATTATCTGTGAAAGCTTTTAGTACAATTTATTCATAAATTGTTGTAAATTCCAAATTCAAAATCAAATAAAAAGTTTTATTTGAAAAGCTTTGTGAACTTTGACCTCTGCTTTATCGAAATACAAACAATGGCTAAAAAGTAAATTTATTTTTAAAGCTTTTGTACTTTGAGTGTATTTGTAAGCTACTGATTGCTCTTAGTAACTCTTTAAATCTCTTAAAGGTTTTTGGCAGATGTTAACAGTTGAAGGCGTAAAGTTTTTATTATTAGAGATTTTTTCTTTGTCATTGCACTTAATTATTTTTATGGGTGTATAGTGCAGCCCAAGTATACAGTTGTTCTACAAAGTGGTTTTTTAGTTATTTTTCTTATAGCTTTTTCTTCAGATTCTTTTA